CTATGATCGGAGGCGATCCCCTAGTCCTTACAGACGAGAGAGGGGCAGCCCTGATTATGGTCGTGGTTCTAGTCGTAGTCCTTACAGAAGAGAGAGGGGCAGCCCTGATTATGGCCGTGATCGCAGCCGAAGTCCATATGGAAGGGAGAGGGGCAGCCCTGATTATGGCCGTGGTGCCAGCCGTAGCCCTTATAGGAGAGAGAATGATGGAGCTGATCGAGGCCGTGGTTCTAGTCGAAGTCCTTATAGAAAGGAACGTGAAAGTCCTGAGAATGGCCGTGGCCCTAGTCAGAGTCCCTATAGGAGAGACAAACCTAGTCCTGACAATGCCCGTCGCAGTCCATATGCAAGAGAAAAGTCAAGCCCTGAGAATGGCCATGGCCCTAGCCATAGTCCCTATGAAAGGGAAAGGTCTAGCCCAGAAAATGGAGGTACCCGAAGTCTAATTTCAGCGCCTGAGACTGGGGCGAGCCCTTATGGTGGTGCTGAAAGCCCTATGCGCAAGAGATATAACAGGTTTGCACAATAATAAGAGATGTTTCACTCTTAATCCATTGTTTTCTTTTGATCCATCCATGACTTGTGATTTATAATGCAGTGGTTCTCCTGGAGCCGAGGAGTAATTGATGTTGCTCGTGAAAAATTGGACGGGAGAGTAGATGTGGTAAAACATCATTTGGCGTGGCTTGCAGAACCCATTTTAGCAGAAATACTGCTAATGTTAGTTTGTGAGACAAAGTGTATGTTGAAATCACAATTTCAGTATTTTAGATTTGACAGCTTAGTCAGTGCTAGTTTGTATTTTAATCATTCATGGCTTTCTTTCCGAATCGTGAATTTTTCTGTTAGTTCTGACTATTTGAATCAACTTTTATCCGTTAATTTCATGTTTTTACCATTAGCCAAATTTTCTAATGCATTGGGGAAATTGGGGGTGGAACAAGACAGACGTCTCGCATTAAGTTTCTGAAAATCTGAGCGTAGCACATCCCAGAATTTATGAACCAATGTTGCATAAATCATTTAAAACTCTGCCTAAGGTATGAATGTTATCACTGATTTGAAAAGTGGATCTCTACATTCTAGGAATATGTTTATACGAAAATTTCTCCATTACCTAATTAGCCTCCAGAGTGAATTGATATGGTATATATGTTTATGTATATGTATATAGTGCTAAACCCTTGACCTTTTTTTAAAAAAAAAAAAGCAAAAAGAAAAAGAAGCAAAGCAGAGAAGAGACCCAGAGATTCTGGTTTGATTTGCAAGAATAGGGTTTACGTGTTTGAAATAAATTTAAATTTTCTGTTAAATTTCAATGTATTTGTTCTGCTTAACTTGAGCTTAAATTTAGATTAAAAACAAATGAAATGTGTTAGTTATAGATGTACATTTATATTTACTTGAAAAACTAACCTCTTTTTATGATTTGGAAGAACTTTCATATATATATATATATATATATATATATCTTTTCGAAAAGCACTTTTGTGGGTTTTTCGCATGTTAAAAAAAGCACTTTTTCTGTTAAGATATCAACTTGTCAATTACGTTGATTAGGTGAGTGGACCCTTAAAACAACTTTAATTTAATTTACCTGTCAAGAAAGTGATTGATCATGAAAAACATTTAAAAAATTAGAGTAAGACAAAAATTTCCCAATAAAATTCAGATTAGAAGGGATAAAACTTTCCCATATTGGCCATGTATGAATGTCTGTCTGTTATAGCAATCTTCCATTAACATATTTTGGGTCCTTCTCATGAACAAAAAATCAATATATACAGCTATATATTTAGCTTTTATTTTATAGGTTATTAGTTTGACCGCTGCTCGATTGATTCAAAATAAACTATTTTTAATTATAATGTTAAGATTTAACAGCTTATGGATAGCTTTTAATTATATATATCGAGAATCATATAGGAACGTACAGTGTTTTGAGGGCATTAATACCCATATGCTCCATCCTAATTTGAGTCTTTCAAAGCCAGAATCCTGTATATGCTAATATGGCATGCAGAATATATATATATATATATATATGTGTGTGTGTGTGTGTGTGTGTAAAAAAAAAACAAACAGAACTCTAGTTTATTAATTTTATAAATCTATATACACTATAAAATACATTTTATATATAAGAAAATATATTGGGTTTTGTTTCTTTCTTGTGTGTCTTGTAAGAAAGCAGAAGAACTCCATGTGATGTTATGCAGACTCTTGTCTTACACTCACACCCACCCAAGTATTTAGGCTTAATTTTAGACCTAACATGACATGCATATATATACTATTACATTATATTTATTATTATTATTATTATTATTTTGTAATTACTTTTTAAAAAGGAATTTCTATTAAAAAAAAAATTGATATGATCTATATATATATATATATATATAAAAGCTTGCTTGGATTAGCTATAAGATTTACTTCTAGAGACTTACTCATCAGTAGCTAACATCTCCTCGTAACCTTGAAGCTATCACACTACTGAAAAACATGTAAAACAAAAAAAAATTAAAGCAAACCTAATTTATTATTCACATGCATGCTGTACTTATATATATGTATGTATGTATGTATCGATTGTACTTGAGAAATATATAAAAGCAATAAAAGGATTTTAAACATTTGAATCATTAAACGAACAGATCAGTCGAATTGTATAAAAGAAACTAAATGATTCATCATTACAACATTTAAAACTAAAGTATGGTGTTCTTTTATTCTCCATACCTAAAAGAGACCAAATAAACTATGGAAACATCAAATTTCCATCATACCAAATGATTATTTATAAGTACTTTTCTCATTACTAATTTTTTTTTTTATTTTAATAGAAACAGTATTCAAAAAATATTTTGAAAATTAAGAAACCCTGTGTTTGTGTGTGTATATATTTTGAGATCAGTATATATATATATATATATATATGTAAAATATCTTAATTCATTTATCTCAGATACATAAATTTAATATGTGCGAGTCTCTGCATTTTGGATATGTGTGGGGCATAATATTTAAGTATACCCATAACTTATTATATAATATATATATATAGTCTTTAATTGCATGGGGCAAGAAAAACTGCTCATTTGTCTAAGCATTAGTTAGCTTTTATGTTCAAATATAATCATAAACACCTACCCAAACAACAGCAACCACCACCACCATGGTGATGATGATAAATGAGATAGTACGTATGATTTGGGCTTCTATACATACACACATACGTACATACATACACACACATATATATATATATATATGTGTTGAGAAATACAGACGTTATACGCGATGAATGTAGCAAAAACGTGTGGCTGTTAATTAATTACTTTAAACCATAAAATATGACCCTAAGTAATTGCAATTAAGCTTAAATTCACACCATAATTTCTTTTAGAAATTCATGTGAGACCTTTTTTTTTTTTTAATCTTCTGTGTAATTTAGACTGCATAGATTAGTGCTATATGTTCGAATTTTATTTGCTATATATATATACACACACACACGTGGTTGCTTAATATGAATTAAGTAAATGGTCATTGAAAATAATTAAATTTTTAGCCTTTCATTTGAAATGTAATTTATAATATTCAATTGAATAAATAAAAAAAATTATCCTATTAGTATATTAATATAGTTGTAATGAATAAAATTTGGATTTCATCTTATTGATTTATTACATTTTGTTTTTAAAAAAATATTAATTAATAATTATTATTTTTAATTGTGATGATTATAATTAATATCTGATCTAAATTCGTAATTAGAAAAGTAATAGAGTTGTATAAAATAATACAAAATCAAAAGTGCTTTTTCAATCATGTTGATTCTAACTTGAGATGATTGTTGGAATAAATCACATTAAAATTCATTATAGCCATTAATTATTTTACAAATCTTTTTTTTTTTTCAATACAAATAATTAAAGGTAGGAGTTGGAACAAAAATAATAATTAATTAGATATAAAATTTATCACTAAAAAATTGAAAACAATAGGAACATACCACGTGGCAAAAAAATATGTACTTTTGGAATGAATAATTTTAAATTATTATGAATGACTTAGTAAATAACTTTTTAAACCAATTATGGGAAATAAATCCAAAAAAAAAAAATCTTTAAAATTATGAAATTTATCAATTAAGTTTAGAGAGTTTAATTTATTTTAATTTATAAATCTCAAATTTTAATTACTCAAATTAAAATATAAAAAATTGTAAATATTAATTAACATAAATTCCAAAAGAACTTGTTTTTCGTTTATTTTAAAGAAGAAAAAAAAAACAATTATTGCCGTGGAAAAAAAAGAGAAAATATATATATTTTTTTTAAAAAAATGAGAATTTCGTTTGAAAGATTTTTGGAAACCAAAATTAGAGGTGGGATAAATAGAGAAAATGATGGGTGTTGGTGGGTGCAAGTTAGGAGTAGAAAATTTTGAGGGCCAAAGATTCATCTTCTCAAAGTACTTGTAGCTGGCAAGAAGCTGTCTTGCTCTTTTTCTTTTACGCCCAGCTTCTCTCTCTTCCTCTCCAATGGTCGTCTTGGGTCACATTACTTAATCTCTCTCTCTATTCCACAAAGTTTCCACCTTTAAGAAGAAGAAGACGAAGAGGAAGAAGAATCAGTTGGGTTTTTTTTCTTTCGCAGCTGAAGAAGACAAGACGAAGGGGAGAGTTTTAGAGGAGATAGATGAGTGCGTCGAGGTTCATAAAGTGCGTTACAGTCGGCGATGGAGCCGTCGGCAAGACCTGCATGCTTATCTCCTACACCAGCAACACTTTCCCTACGGTGAGACACTGCTTAAAGTTCGTCTCTTTCCAAATGGGAAGTTTCTGTTTTTGTTTGGTTTCTCGGAATTAGGGGGAAGAAAATTAGTCAAGCTTAACTAGGCTTTACGCTACTACTCGACCTGGTTTTGGAAGTTCATTTTGACTTCTGGAGAGTTAGAGTAGTGTTGAATTTAAGCTGAAAGTTTAGCTGCATATTTTCTGTTATACCACGTTTTCTTGGCGAACAAACATGAAATTAGAAGATTGCTTCATTGGGTTAAGCTCTCGAATTTGATTTATGTTTGGTGTTGATCTTTGAACCTTTTATGCTCTTGGTTATGATAAAGGGAGGGCTTTTTTCTTTTGGCTATTGAGTTTAACTGGATCATTCTTCAAAATTTCTGCTATGGAATAAGCAGGGGACTAGTGAGATGAGTTTTTGGCCAGCCATACGGCGATGGATGTTAATCTACATTGATCAACTCTGAGATGTCTAATGGCATGTGTATCTGTTTTGAAACTTGTCGCCACACATTGGGTCAGGACCTAAAATGATCAGAAAGCTAGGTTTGTTTGTGACTCTTATAGCTTTTCTATGTCTGCCTGCACGAGTACACGTACATGCTTCGCGTGAGGGGTTATTAGGATGCTAATTCCTCACGACAAGTATAATCATGTGCAATGGTTTATACCCGTCAGACGACTCTACCTATTCATTTTATGAGTTTCGACTATAACCTAACAATATTAATTATCTTGTTGGTTTATGAGGTAAAAGGAGGTCAAAATCACATATACATTCCCCGTTTGGGGTTAACTATGAAGCTGGCATGCTATTTCTAGTTGTTGTCGGATTAAAGTAATGGACTTTTATTTGAGGGTGAGATGTCTAAAATTAGGGATAGATAGATATACTATTTTGGTTATTTGATTTTAAGTCATCACTTTTAGGATGAGGGATTTTGGAAATGTCATAAATATACGTACTGAGATATAAATATTTTACATGTAAGTGGCATCCCTTTAATGTTGTTATTATAATATGCATCTTAAATTTTTTATTTTAAAAAAAAGTAATGGACTTTCGTGAATGTGGTTCATCTGTTTTATGGTGCACACAGATGTTTACTCATGAAGGGTTGTCATGTTGATCACTGATTGCGAAAAGAAATTGAGTCTTGAATTGCAACATTTTGGTGCTGTAATTTTGAATCTTCACACCTAGCTTTCTCTTTGTGTGAGGAATATACTATCCCGTCCATTAGCTTTTGGGGCTCTGCAGAAGGGACTGTCATGAAATAGAAGTTTTTGAAGTGGTTTTTGTGATGTATTCCATTTCTATTGAATTTCTTAGATAAGCTTCAGAGATAATTATGTAATATCTCTGTTATTCTTCTATGACTGTGACAGGATTATGTGCCAACTGTATTTGACAACTTCAGTGCAAATGTGGTTGTAGATGGGAATACTGTTAACCTAGGGTTGTGGGATACTGCAGGTAAATCAAGCTTCGATAATCTTGCATTTTGTTATTAAAAACTTTCTTTTACTGAGTTTTCTTTTTCCTAATTAACGGAACAGGCCAGGAAGACTATAATAGACTGCGGCCTTTGAGCTACCGTGGGGCAGATGTCTTCCTTCTCGCTTTCTCTCTCATCAGCAGGGCCAGCTATGAAAATGTTGCCAAGAAGGTGGGTCTCTCACCAATTTACGTTGAATTTGGTTCAAATTTCAATATTGTGGACTAAGAATGAGAACAAAAAAATCAAACGGGATAAAAATTGAATGAAAATAATATCCTAATTTCAAGTCAATTCCATGTTTAATTCAAGTTAGAAATTTTTGTTATTTTTCTATTGGCAAGTAAAAAATACAAATATACTATTGTGGAACTGAAAATACAAGTTGTATTTATTCAATTATGCGTCAAATATATAAATTATGACTAACTTCTATGTATCAAATAATTATGATGCAGGAATTTAATGAGAATAGAATAAATTTGAACCAAATGTGTTCTTGTAGAATGTTGTATGTGCATGTGATTTGCTGATGAAGTTCTTGCTTTCTGTTTTATGTTCAGTGGATTCCCGAATTGAGGCATTATGCACCTGGAGTTCCAATCATTCTTGTTGGGACTAAACTTGGTTAGACTCATTCCCTTAACAAATTCCCCTTGGCTTGATGTTATGCTCTTCCTAATTTCCCCCGCTATGGTAATTTTCATACGGCGGGAAACTTGTGTTTAGGAGTCCGATTTTACCTCTTCATAGTTATGTATTGTCAATGTACCAGTCAATTTTCAAGCTCTCATTAGTATATGCACTCAATCAGATTTTAGCACATTGCTTGTAATATTGATAAAAAACTTACAGGCCTGGTTCTCCGAGTTTATTCAAGTTCTTAGTTCGTGGTTATGGCAACACGATGAAGTATTTTTATGCAGGCAATATTTTTCTGTCCGGAAGCCTCTGATAGTTAATTTTCTTTTCCACAGATCTTCGAGATGATATACAATACTTTAGGGACCACCCTGGTGCCACTCCCATTACCCCAACCCAGGTATTTTTTGTCTCCAAAATTGTTTACTCTCATTTCATGTTCCTTGTTCCGTTTCATAATCTTGTCTTCTGACTCGATGAGAATAAGGTGCTGATTTGTTCTTTTCATTTCGATTTTTTCCTTTCCCCCAAGGGCGAGGAACTAAGGAAATTGATTGGAGCTCCTGTTTATATTGAATGTAGTTCAAAAACGCAACAGGTATACTGATTTCATATTTGCATAAATGTCTTTTGGAATGATCTCTAATGGCTTCTTTTACTGACCAAAACTCTGGAAATTACTTTTTGAAATTACAGAATGTGAAAGCTGTCTTTGATGCTGCCATCAAGGTGGTTCTCCAGCCGCCAAAACAGAAGAAGAAAAAGAAGAGACGAGGGCAAAAGGCTTGCGCTATATTGTGATTGCCAAAAGAATTCCAAATTTAAAAATATTATTAACTCGTAATTGTCTTATTGTCACTGCCTTGTGTCTTAGGTCAGCTCCCGTTGTGAAAGAAGCAGCAAAGCAGCTTTGATATAGTCTCAAACTGACAAGACTAGCAGAACTCTTCATCAAGAACTCGAATTTAAGCGCTTGTTGTTTTCTCGTCCGTTTCTGATTTGTTGTATATCGTCTATTCACAGTGTCTTCTATAACATTCGCACTTCTGTTTCCTTAATTCTAGATATGTACGATGTATCAATTAGAATGGATAGATTTCTTATTCTAGAAAAACCAGACATTGATCATTGTATATCATGTTTCAAGAACTGATTTAGATATTTGAAGAAATTGTCCTTGTATCTAGGGTTTACTTTGGATTACCTCGAATTCGGACCTTTCTTGTAGTATGTTTTTATCATGTTCATCGATTACCTAGCTCCTAATGAGTTTTGGATGATGAGGCTACAGGAAATTCATGGAAGAAATCAAGAAAAACAGGGGATAATCTGGCAAATCCCAAATGACTTTTCTAAGGTGGAAAATCATCAAACCCATCATCCTTTCGGGAGAGATCTTTTCTTTTTTTTTTTTTTGGAAAAAAAAAATCTAAGTTTGTGGTGCCTTTTCATACATGTCAGCTTCATATCTTTCTCCAGATTCTTGACTGTGAACTGTATGAGCTAATTAGCTGAGCAGGAATATTTTCTCCCCTTTTAGGATGTAGATATATATAATAATTATAACACAATTTTTGCATTCCATCCTAATAAATTCAGACTGGGAATAGAAGTGATTATGAAAAACAAGTTATAATTGTATATATTAAGGATAAGTATATACAAGTTTTTTATATCCTCTCTTTGTAGATTAGAATAAACAAGTCAGAATTTAAGAACTTGCAAAATTCTTCACTTGCTTCTTTTTTCCTCTTGGAATATATACTGCACCCACTTTCACAAATCTGAAAACAATAGGTGGACCTCTGACATTTTCTTTCTCTCATCTCTTCTTCAACACCTCCATTAAATACACCTCCGTCTTGCCTTTAGCAAGGGCAAGGAGTCTTCAGTCGAAAGCTTGTTTATTGGCCTCCAATGGCGTCGAAACGAATATTGAAAGAGCTCAAGGAGTTGCAGGGAGATCCACCAACTTCATGCAGTGCGGGTAGAATTGAGTTTGATATTGCATTAAACTTCAACCCAAAACTATGTGGTTCGATTGGTTGTGGGTCTAAGTCTGATTGAGCTTAAATTGCAGGTCCCGTGGGGGAAGATATGTTCCATTGGCAAGCAACCATAATAGGGCCTAATGACAGTCCTTATGCCGGTGGTGTTTTCCTTGTCACTATCCATTTTCCTCCTG